AGGCAGAGCTTTCATAGTATGCATTTTTCCTGCTAGGTGAGCATCAAGCAACTTGCTCTTGAGTTAGTGCATCCAGTGCCGTCGCTGGGGAAGGTTCTCTCTGGTCACAGTGAATTTTTTCATAAAAGCAGTTTCGCTCAAACCTTATTTTTCGTGATGGCCAATGTAAGAGAATAGCATCAGTTGTGAAATTTTGTTTCCTGCTCAGGAAAAATGCCGCAGGAACTGTTGTGATGTTGAACACAGCTTACAAGGACAGCACTTTGGGAAAAACTCAAGTGTATGAATAGTTTTCTCGTTTCAAAAAAAGGTAAAATGTCAATTGATGATAAACCTCATTCTGGGTGTCCATCAACTTCCGGAATGGATGAAAATGTCAAATGTCGACTCATAGTGCATTTGGAGTTTGTTCTACCAGATCAGACTGTTAATCACGCTTTCTTTTAGAGGTTCTGAAAAGATTGCATAACAATGTGGAACAAAAAAAGCCAGATTTGTGGCAAATGGGGAACTGGTTTTGCCACCACGACAATGCACCTGCTCTCATAGCCATCTAAATGAGTCAGTTTTTGGTAAAAAAAAACAAAAACAAAAACAGCATGCCTCTTTGCTCCACGCACCTGACTCACCTGACCTCGCTCCATTAGACTTCTTTTTGTTTCCATGAATGAAGCAGATAATAAAAGGGCAGCAAGAACAAAAAGGACAGAGATCTGAGGATGTAGAAGAGGTGAAGAAAAAAATGAGGGAGGTGCTGTCAGCCATCCAAACAGATGAATTTGAAAAATGTTTCCAAGAATGGAATCACAGATTTGACAAATATAGTAAATGTAATGGAGAGTACTTTGAAGGTGATAAGGTTGTTTTGTAAAGATATTTAAATACATAGCTTTGAAAAAAATTCCGGTTTTGGGTGGGTCCCTCTCATATGCTTAAATGTACAGAGATCTGCAGTTAGGAAACCAAAACGGAAGAACACCATCAGCATCTCCCAAACTGAAAGAATTCAAAAGAAAATCGAAGCCTCAAGTTTCATTAGTGAAAAAATCGATGGGTCAAAAAATTAAAAACACAAAAAGGATCAAAAGAAAATTAAAGGGGGAAAAAAACAACAAAAAATGAAAATTAAAAGAATACAGAGTCACTGTACCAAAAAGAATTGGTTGACATTCAGCCATTTCAGCAGATAGCTTTTGATCAATCAGTTGCTATTGAAAGAAGAGATTCAAGTTGTACTGAAGACAGTGGCAAAAAAAAAATAGCTTCCAGAAATTGATGGTTGAGGAGCCCTGCTGGCACAGTGGTATGCAATGAACTGCTACATATAAGGACAGCAGTTTGAAACCACCAGCTGCTCTGAAGGAGAAAGACGAGGCTTTCGACTTCCATAGAGAATTACAGTCTCATCGAGGGAGTGGGGGAGGGGGGAGACCCATTACAGGGATCTACATATAACCTCCTCCCTGGGAGACTGACAACAGAAAAGTGGGTGAAGGGAGACATCGGAAAGTTTAAGATATGACAAAATAATGATTTATAAATTATCAAGGGCTCATGAGGGAAGAGGGAGCAGGGAGGGGGGCTAATGAGGAGCTGATGCCAGGGGCTTAAGTGGAGAGGAAATGTTTTGAGATGATGAGGGCAATGAATGTACAAATGTGCTTGACACAATTGATGTATGTGTGGATTGTGATAAGAGTTGTATGAGCCCCTAATAAAATGATTTAAAAAAAAAAAAAGAAATTTAGTAGACAGCTACCTGACCAATAGATGGGAAGAGACCTATCCATTCCAAAAGAAAGATAATCAATCCGAATGTGGAAATTATAAAATAATATTAATATCACACACTAACCAAATTTTGCTTAAGATAACTAAAAAATGACTACAGCTATACATCAACAGGGAATTTTCAGTTCAAGTTAAATTCAGAAAAGGGCATGAAATGAGGGATATCCCCTACTAATGTCAGATGGATCTCAGTCAAAAGCAGAAAATATCAGAAAGATGTTTGCCTTTTTCAGCTACAAGAGGGCATTCAACTGTGTGGATCATAATAAATCATAGATAATATTACGAACAATAAAATTTCACTACACTCAATAGTGCTCATGTGAAACTTGTACATGGATCAAGAGGCAATTGTAAAAACAGAACATGGGGGTCCCACTGCTGGTTTAAAATTGGAAAAGGTGTGTGTTGGGTCAGGCACAGGTCGGGAGACACGAGGAACAGCCTGACTTGTCATTATGGGACCAAGATGGCTAGCTTCAAAATGGCTCCAGGACAATGAGCTATCTCCTCAGTATCAGACGGATGGAGATGGCTTAAGCCCCTGCAGCTGCTGCTCCTCCCTTCTTGTTTACCTGCCTGACCATCTTAAAAACTTGCTCTTCACCACAGATAGGCATGACTTGGGGGGGGGGGGGGGGCGGATAGGGCAGCTGAAGGCCTGTGGACCTCACCCAGGAGCTCAGGACTCCCATCTCTTTCTCTGCGCTCCCCTCCCAGGCAGCAGGACTTCACTGGCTCCTTGCTGGAACCCACCTTCTCCTTCTCTTTCTTTCTTGCCTGGCCTCAGTTTATCTTTGCGGTGAGCCTAATAGTTTGTGGTACAGTTCACCCTACTTATTCAATCTATATGCTGAATAAATACGAAGAATGCACCAGGATTGAAGGAAAATTAATTTACAACCTATGATAGGCAGGCAACACCTTGCTTGTGAAAATGAAGGCAATTTAAAGCAAGTACCGTACTGATGTTCAGTCAAAGACTACAACTTTCAGTATGGATTATGCCAAAATGCAAAGAAAATGAAAATCCTCACCTAAGCTGATAAATAGTACGATAAATGAAGAAAAAACTGAATTCATCAATGATTTCATTCTACTTGGATTAACAATCAAGGGAAGAAGCAGTCAAGAAATCAAATGATGGGGGAAAACAAACCACATATTCCATTGAGCAAATCTTCTGTAAAAGATCACTTTTACAGGGTTTTTTAAAGCAAAGATGTCACTTCGATGACTAAAGTGCATCTGACTCGAGTCATGTTTTTTCAATAGCCTCCCATGCCTGTGAAAGCTGAACAAAGGAAAGACAGACAGAAAGAGGAGTGATGCATTTGGTTGGAGTGTTGATGAAGAATGTTGAATATACTGTGGACAGCCAGAAAACAAATCCGTTTTCAAAGAAAAGGACCCCCTTATTTGTGACACATCATCAGGTAGCTAGAAAAGGACATCGTGTTGGTAAAGAATAGAGTGAGCAAAAATAAGGAAACTTCTCAGTGCAATGGAATGACACAATCACCACAACAATGATGAGGGAACAGGACCAGGCAACAATTTGTTGTTATACACAAGGGCTCCATGAGTCAATGCCAACTCCAGGTCAACTAACAACAACTAGGTACTAAAAGTATGTGCATTCATAATTGCATATTCTTAACTTTTGTTTGTAACCTAGACACTATAAGAATGCTTTAACAAAAAGATTCAAAGTTTATGCTATAAACCACATTCATTCAAGATAGTGTCAAACATTATAGATCACATGTCTGATAAGAGAGTTGCATCCAGAATATCTAAAGAACTCTTACATCTCAACAATAAAAAGGCATCCCTATCTAAAAATGGACCAAGGATTTTAAAAGATATTGCTCCAAAAATATACGAATGGCCAATAAACTCACAAAAGCTGCTCACTGATTGATGAGGGCAACAGGTGTACATAGGTGCTTGACTCAATGGATGTATGTATGGACTGTGATAAGAAATGTACGAGCCCTCAATAAAATAATTTTTTTTAAAAAGCTGCTCACCACCATTAGTCATTAGGGAAATGCAGATCAAAACCACAATGAAATATCTACAAGGATGGCTAAAATCTTTTTTTAAAACTACAAGTATTGGTTAGAATATGGAAAACTGGACACTTAATACACTGTTGATGAGATTACACAAAATAGCACAGCCACTTTGGGAAACAGCTTAGCCATTCCCCAAATGTTAGAGTTACCATTTGGCTCAACAATTCCCATTCCTAGTAGATAGCCAAGAAAATTGAAAACATAGGTCTACACAAAAAGTTACATATAAATGTTCATACCAGTATTATTTATAATAGCCAAGAAAGTAGAAACAAATCAAATGTCCATCAACTGATGTAGGGATAATGAAATGAGCTACACAGCCATGCAGCTGAATATTACTAGCTGATAAAAAGGAATGCAATATTGATGCATGCTACAGGGATGAACCCTAAAAAATGTATGTTAAGTAAAAACAGTCAGACACTAAAGGCCACATGTTGTATGATATCATTTATATGAGATATTCAGAACAGGCAAATCAAGAGCGCTCACATAATTAGTAGTTGCCAGGAGTTGGGGAGATGGGGGATGACTGTTAATGCATATAAGTTACAGGTTTTCTTTTCGTACTGATAAAATGTTCCGAAATTAGACAATGATGAATATGGTAAAAACTACTGAATTCAATCACACTTTAAGAGAATGAATTGTCAGGAAGGGATATATTGGAATGAGTAAAATGAGTCAATAAAAATATATTAAAATTTTTAAAAAGAGAAGGAATTGTATATGAATTGCATTATCAATAAGTTTTTTATCATTTCAAAATCGTGCTAAATACAAAAGTTTAAAGTTCATAACTAAAGATAGCCTTGTATATTAATTTGCTATAATTTATTTTAAATCATAAGTGTTTCTAAGACTGTATGACCAAATGGCACATATAGGAAAATAAACGGCTCTTTTATCCTGCAGAAAAAAAGGATGCTTCAATTCAAATTTGAATTGAAATTTTCCCTTTATTCAGATAAGCCAAATCTACTAAGTAAAAATATTCAAGTTCAATGCCAAATTCAATCATCGATATCTGAGTCCAAATCATTTAGTACATCTGTCTGCAGATGGTAACCATGAACAGCTGTTGGTATCTGCCATTCAGTGGCACATCTGCAGCTTATGCTTCACCTTCATGCACAGCTCCGCCTTATCAAAGCCCATCAGCATGTTGATGATGTCAAACCCAGAAGTCGACTTATTCTTCTGATGGACTCCTCGAATGAGGGCACACAAAGTCTGCAAAGACGAGGGAAAGAATTATTTTCAGACAGGATAACTCAAAATTAGAAGGATTGTGCCATCTGTATGTAGTCTCAAAACCTGCTAGCCTCCTCCTTTTCATTTCTGTCACTCTGGGCTCAAACTCGGTCTGAGGCTTAGTATACACATAATCCAGAAAGTGAGAGGAACAGCAACTGAGAATCTTGTCATCCCTTTCTTTTCTGTCAACCTCTTTCTAAAAAGTGTACTATAGACAAAAACAAAAAGGTGCCATTCAAAATGTAAAAACAATTCTAGAGTAAGAGCTCTTTATTTAAAGTTAATTTTAGTACTTATATTACAGTTTGTTATTTTAAGAATTAAGAAGTTATGTAAGTCATTATTTGGTAATAGTCCATTGCTTCAAATCCTAAAGTATGACAATCCCCATCTTCTATTTACTAGTTGTGTGACCTTGAGCAACCCAGTTAGCTTCTTAGTGCCTCAGCTTTCTCCTCCATAAAGTAAAAGTGACTACTATTATCAGCAAACTCCTAGGATGATAATTATGTGGGTTAATTCTGTAAGTGTTTAAATAGCCTTAACAAGTCCTTGAAAAACACATCCTGGAACTCTGTGAAAACATGTTAAGTATTAATTACAAAGAACATTTATAATCATAATGCACTATATCCTTATATTGGGAAAAAGGCCGGGTTTCCTACTCCTATCAAGAGTTACAACCCTAGGAACTCAAGGGAAAGATCTACCCTGGGTGCCCGGCTATCAAAAAGTATAGCGTCTGGGGTCTTAAAGCCTTGAAGGTAA